GGGGTTTTATCGGCGACGGCGTTACTCATTCTGGCAATGATGATTCTATCTGCGCGTCGACAAAGCGGCGTCTTCTCAAACCCGTCATCAATTGCAACCATGGCGTCGCTACTGGGCAACGACGAGTTCATCTCCGAGATCCGGAAACTTCCTCAAAACTCCAACCGCTCTGCGATACGAAGCGCCTTTGGCCCTGATAAATTTATACTGGCCCAATATCCAACAACATCCGGCCATGTTCGATACGGAATCGTCAAGACTACGGATGCATCGGCCCATCCGAGGCTCAACAAGGACCAACAGCAGCAGTATCCTGCGCTCTCAAACCCATCGGCTCATCGACCATTCCCACCCAAAGACCGGAGCCCACTCTCTACCAGCTTCCTCATCGACGCGATTTTCCTCCTGGCAATCCTCGCGCTCCTCTGTATCACCGTGGCCTACTATCTAACCCATGGTGATAATGCATTCAATAACTTCTTCAACAACCACCCGCTGCGCACCTTCGTGCTAACGTTGGCGGCCAGTGTGCTCGATGGCCGCTGGAAGCAGCTGGAGCACGAGGTCCGCCTCCTTACGCCATACCGCCAACTGTTTCGTGGGTCCGCCAAACCCGACACCACCATCCTAGTGACGCAGAACGCTACGGCCATCACTAGCTTCGTCCCGGCGCTCTGGCGCGGGAATTTCTTCCATGCATTTATCGCGTTCGTGGCGACGCTATCAGACGTCCTGATCATTGTGATCGGCGGCGTGCCGTACTCGACTGCGCAGTTCCGGATGGACTTCGTGGTGTGCACCTACACCAGCTGGGGCATCTTGGCCGTCATGGCGCTGACCGTGCTGGCGCTGTTCAGGTGGCGGGCGGTGAACGAGATGATGACAATCCCGCACGATCCGAACACGCTGGTCGCGGTCTGGCAGATGCTGTGCAACAAGGGCAATGGGCTATGCGAGGAGATGTTGGGCAGTGAGACAATGCAGGGCAGTGCGAGGGACGAGAGGGTTAAGTTGAGCGGTGCGCGTTACTGGGCCGGCTGGATCACGGAGCCGGATGGGTCGCGGAGATGGGTCGTCGAGAAAGAGAAGCCGTCCAGGACAGCGTCGGGCGGGATATGATGACTGAGGACCTCTCTGTAGAGAGGTGGCAGTCGTAAATAGTGAGCAGACTCGGAAGCACCCTTGAAAAGGCAACATCAAGGGTCCAGCTATACTGTACAATTTCGGTTGAGATCACCTTTGTTGCTCCTCTTGGCTCCTACTACTTACTTGGCGAGCTAGTCACGCGATAAGTAACAATGAGTGTTGCGAAGATATAAGAGTGACCGATGTTATCGCTCGAAACTTCCATTAAAGAACTCAGGAGGGAGAACCTGAATGGAACCAGCCATCATTGCCACTCTGCGTCCATCGCAGGACGCCAAGAAGATCAACCTGTTCAGAGATGATTTCGAAGGCCATGTTCGTCGACACAATGGAGTTGGGTCGACAAGCTAAGTGTGACCGATCACCTGTGTGGCGGGAGTTATATCATCATCTTGATTATCTGCTCCTGGAGCGGTCGAAACATCGACGTTCGAACAAGTCCCATACATTTCCCAAGTCGTCCCATCAGACACTTGAGGGCATCACGGGCGCAGATTGAAGGGCACTACGGTGGGAAACTGTCCGAAACCCGACCAGAACCTTTCTTCTCTGTGTCGGCCTGCGTCTTTACAAGGGTGTCGGTCATTGAAGCCGCAGACGGACGACGTTGTGAACAAGTACCTTACCTCGGGTGTGATTGTGGTAGCAATGACTTCGCCTGCCTCTTCTTTGCGAGCAACGATGGTGGGGAGTTTTCTAACAATGTAGACATCGTGCCGTTGATCAGACCTGTATAGGATTTAATCATCTTCCAAAAATACTGCCAGCCCTTCGTCATCTTCAGTCATGCTCGCCATTTCGTCGTCAGAGTCTTCGTGGTAGAACACCCACTGCTGCCGTACTTGGGGGATTGCCGAGTAGAGAGAGGGTGTATGCGCTCTAGCTCGTGTACGAAGTACCAATAGAACTGTACGGGGGTTGAAGCCTGCGGAGTGCTGGAGCATGGCGAAGTGGTGTTGGTGTGCTACGAGGCTGAGCTAAGAGCTCCCTACAGTAGAGTGTTTAGCATTTCGTGTAAGAGGAATTCTCATCTGTGTCTGGATATTTCTCATTGAGCTTGACGAGGGACCTCCTCGAGGTCTTGCAACGTGATCTTCAAGCTCTGCAGTAAGTTAGTTGATAATCTGTGATTTGACATGCGAGGCGTTCCTTAGCCGGTAATCTCGAGAGGATTGATCTTTCTGATCGGCGCAAATGGTTGCAGCCCCTACCCTTAGTCTTCCGAGCTCATAGTTCCAGATACATTTCGGTATGCCAGATAATGGTCTGAAAAGTTCATCTTTAGCCAGAGTGGTGTTGAACAACTTCAGACAATCCAGCAACTTTGTCGATATAGAACTCGAATCCGTCGTGTCTCTAGACTACCTTGCCGATGTTTACCGTCGATCCAGAGGCATCAATGGGAGTTTGAAAGGTAGCGTTCAGTGGGCACACTGACTGGCAACAAACTAAATGTCGTTGAGCTCATGTTAGGGGATATCTCACGGCCCGGTTCCCAGGGACGATGGATATATTACAGAAGGATCTTGGGACGGTGGAAGGCTGGTTCCTGTATGGTTTGGAGGGACAGAGACGGCTTGTGAGGTTGAAAGTGGGGCACAAACCTGGCACATCTCCAGTGGTTGCCTTGAAACTATGATCGCCAGTTGTGTACCTTGTTATAGCACTACACTAGCTAGAAGGTGGGGTTATAGACCGCGGGGTGGCGGGTGTGCCCGTCCAGTGTCCAAGGCTACCCACCCACCTACCTTGATACATATGGTGGCATACTTTGGTCAGCCGTCCCCGAGAACTTGGTCTTGTTCGCGCCACTTTTCCAGGATACTTATTTCCCAGATTCTACCATTTCAGGCTTCGAAATTGCTGGTGTTGTACTCGGAGCTCTGCCCATTGTTTTGGACCTCATTGGCGAATATCGCGAAGGCGTTGACACCATCAAGACCTTGATTTCAACCCGCAGATATCGGAGAGAAGCCAAGCGCTTCCAAGATGGCCTCGGCACAGAGAGTATCATTTTTCAAAATACTTTGGAGAGAGTACTTGTCCAGATAGTGCATGATGATGCGGACATAGCGGCATTACTGCAGGATCCCGACAGTGACTTCTGGAAACGCAGCGAATACAACGCAGCGAATACAACGCAGACCTTCAGAGACTGATGAAGACCAGCTACGCAGCCTATATGGCAACTATGACTGAGCTCGTCTCCCTTCTCGGGAGTCCGAAGGAAAGCTGGGTACCGATATGCCGCCTTCGAGCACGATGCGCAACTTGAAAAGGTTCAACGACGTTCTTTCCAAAAGGGTCTATGAAGCTCTTCTCGGCAAGATCAGAGTAGCAAACCAAACACTTTCCACCATCGCTGAACAAATCCACAAGTTGGCTGAGTCTCGGATAGCATGTTGGCCAAACCGAGGCTTATTGAAAGACTACGCCAAGATCAGACGGCATGCTCGCAGTGTCTACGACACGTTTGTTTGTGGTAGTTGCTGGGATTGTCCATGCAAGACGAGGCACATCCTACAGCTGCGTCTGGAGAATCCGCCTGGCAAAGGCCATGCTGGTGGGTCAAGATGTATGCAGATGAGATCCAAATTTGTCCATCGATTTTCATACGCAGAAGGGAGCGAAGCAGAAGTCTTGACTGCGGGCGAAAAGGTCGAGATTGAAGCAGCCGACCTGCAAGACGATACTGATCCTGCAACACCGCGGATACCTGTGCAGGCACAACTCTCTTAAGCCGCTAATATTAGTCGCCCGAAAGACGTCCATTTCGGTATTGTCGAGTCAACCCTCGAAACCCTCCAATGGCCGAGGCAGGGGAATCCTGGTCAACAGCTTCACGATATCTGTAACGCACTTAACCTCTATTCGCCGGAAGGGTCAAAGCGCGAACACATTGTTTTCCTCATCGATAAGCCCAATCTGCGACGGCACGATGTCTACATTGTTAGAAAACTCCCCGCTAATCAAACTACCCGGTCCATCAAAAACATTCTCGAGACAGTTCTTTATCTCCCAAGGAGGGTGCCATTCGTCTGCCGGCCGTCAGTCAGCGCAACAGACGCTTCCTTGCAGCCATTTTAGCCTCTGGAGTTTCCAGCTCCACGGCAGCTGGCTGGAATCGCAACGAGGTCTTGAGGATATCCTGCTGCAGTCGCAAGCAGACTACCAGAACGCCATGATCTGCCTTCCATATCTCTCTCGAGCTCTCGTTCAGGCAGCACCAAGAGCTGAGTTCCAGGCACCTGGCGAAAGAACCAGCCCGGCTCTTATCAGAAACAGTATTCTTTTCCCACCCGGGCCAGCACTGGTCGAACTATCTCTTGGACAACCTCTTGACACACTGTGCGAGGCGGAAGACGATGACACCTTCAAAGCGGTTGCTATTCTCAAAACTGCGCTGCGAGTCCTGAAATTTGTGCAGGATCAGAGTGGCTATCGCTATTGTGATGTCATGAAAGTGTGCCTGCTGTGGCCTGGCCCTGATGGCGATCAACTTGACGATAAAGTGCTACGAAGCGCGGTGTTTGAGAAGGTAGTGATGCCGCTTCAGGATGACCTTGATGCCTTTGAAGGGAAGTCGTTCATTCGTTGAGCGGGGGGAAGTCTAGGACATGTGTCTGCAGACTCCCGGACTCTGCATCGAATATGTCTGTATGATAGTCCAACCTCATCGCCGTCACTCCACCTCCTTCTCCTTCTCGCCTTCCTTCTCGATGGCCCAATGATTCTGTGCCGGATGCGCAGCGGAAAATACTTGGCGGTGTACGGTGCGCCATGGGACCTGTGAGACGCAGATTCACTAGACTGCACGGTCGTCGTTGCCGCAGAATTATAACGTCGCCGTTTGTCTCTTCCAAACCAAGACACTGTCCTTTATCGCTCTCTTCCGTACCAAGTTGTATCCTCCACTACTGCCTTCTTCCAGACACGCTGCACAGTTGCGCGTACGAGACTGCAACGCGGTCAGATCCTCTGCACACCTCCTTCCGCATCCCACCCTACCACATGCATTCCTAGTCCGACATCACCTCTTTCCCGGCCTGCTTCTGGACTGCCCGCACCCCTCGTTGTGTTCCGTTCCACCTCGGTGAACCAGTCCACTGATCCTGGGCATTCTGCCTGAAGAATAGCCATCGGACAGTTTGATATACTCTTTGTGCAAACTCCGGCGCATTCTTCACCTTCCTTTCTCCGCTCCAGCCACATTGGCAATATTGGACGTCCCAAAGCAAACAACGGATGAGACAATAAAGAGACTGGGCCAATAAATACCGGCTGGTGGAAGGGTTTGGCCAGGCTGGCGCAAGCCAGGAGAGCATTGTAGCTAGGTGGTGTGGTTACTGTCTTCCTTCTGCTCTACAAAAGTCCGTCCCCGCCTAGTGTCTGCCTATGCGTGGCACGGTTCCTACCTCCCAGCATCCTACCGCCCTCCCTTCCGACGTCAATGCCTTTGGGATCTGATTGCTCTTGACTGCTATGGACACCCGCGAGTTTGCCACGAGAGACGAATTGTGGCGCATTCAAGAGACACTGAACGACCTCTCTGCAACCCAGGCCCTCCATTCAGATCGCATCATGCGTTTGGAGCAGAAGATCCCTGATGGGAGCAGACCTAGAAGTCTGTGGGGGGCGAGCTCTCCTTTCCCCTTGGGCTCTTCGCATCATGGTAAGCTGACCCATACTTGGAAACCCATATATACTAATGCCAACAGAATCGACACTCAACCCCGCCGCCGAAGCTTTCCGCAATTTTGACGCAGATCCTATGATAAGTTCCTTGACCTTGGATCCCACTGACGACTCACGGAGGGCCGCCGCATCAAGGGCCAACTCAGTACGGTTCGACGAGAGCGCCAACAACCACTATGGCTCCTCAAGACAGTCAATGGAATTGCCCACACGTACAGGCAGTGGACTTGGTGGTCACGCGCTCTCAGAAAGATCTCTTTCACATCGTTCTGACGGGAGGCCCACGCCCTCTGGGTTTGGTCGGACAAACAGCTTTGGTCTTGAACAGAGTCGACTGCTTGGGTCAATACACAACTCGCCGCGAGTTTCAGGCAATCCTCCACCAGGCTTCTTCATCTTAGGACCGTGTCCGGCCATCATCCGTTGCTGGCTGACTCAGTCGTTTTCCAACAGCTCACTCCTCTACGCCGCCATGTGCACCGGTTCGACGGTTTCGTCTGTCAGCTATTCATTGTTATGCAAACTTGACCTGACAGAGTCCATATTTGGAGAAGGGGGTGATCGCTCTGTTCGACTACCCGTTTATCTGACCGAAGCCAAAATCCACAGTCCTGCTGCTGTCAGATCAGCTAGTCCAGTGTCACCAATCCCTGCCCTGATGGTCAAGTTTGTGGTCGATGAACAGACGGTGACCGATACGTCGATACAGATCATCCTCGGCAGCGACGTTCTGAGATCACACAATGCCGACATTTTGTTCTCACAGGACAAGGTCATGATTTTCGACGAGGAACGAAATCAAGTCTCGATTCCGTTGTGTAGACCTGAAGACGATAGCTCTTTCAAGGATCTGTGCACGGTCTCTCGCCATCGATCGTTGTCAATCGGTGAAACTCTACCGCCCCCCGCTTCACCGGTGGGAGTCATTGGCCAACCAGAAAGACTCAACACAGCCCAGAACACTGTATCACCGACTGCAGCTCAACCCAGTAGCTTGCCTTCTGCCACACCGTCCGAACCGGGAGATATGCATCGAGCGGATCAACACATGGAGCCGTTGACACGAAGCAGTCTGGATATGTCTCAAGCAAAGCCTGCCGACGACTCCAAGTCTACGACTGGGAGTGAGAAGTCATTCACCACGCCAATGTCCAAATCTGGATCGGGGGTGTGGTCCAACTCGTGGCGTTCTGTCTCCTCTGGTACTCCCAACGATGCGAGCTCCAAGACTTCGTCTAGTTACGCGCGACCTCACACGCAGAGAACCATGAAAATTCTGCGGCCGACAAAGACAATGGCCAACGCGACCAGAACTCCTTCTGCGTCAGCCACAGCCCCAAATGGCACAGAAGCTGCGCAGGCGACTCTGAACGACACTGGAAAAGCTGCAGCTCAGTCAGATTCTGGCGGAGAGGCTAAAGGTTCTCAATCGAGCGCGACGGCACGAACTAATCCAATCGGATCCGGTACTGCCTTTGGTTGGTTAAACACGGGGCCGCAACGGAGAACAACGGCGAACAGTTGAGCGGAGGGCTAATAGAAGACTCTCGCTCCGAACCAGGATAGTTGATCTTCAACTGAGAACTTGATGAAGTCCGTTTGATGCCATGATGATGAAGGTAATGGGGGATCGAGAGGCGGGCAGGAAGAGGATGGTCAGAAGGGCGGGCTTCACTTGGTATTGACGTGTACTCTAGGCCGTTGTCTGACCTCGTCGCATGGAGACGTGGGACAGTCAGGGCAGATAGAACTCAGAAGAGTCTCGTACGAGGCAAATCTTGCAAAAGTAATCCAGACATTCATATTCACAAAATGAAGGATGCATGAGGCTGCGTCCCCCACACGCTGCCTGTGGGAATTCGATTTGCCGCTCCAACTTGACATCTTCGGCCATTGTCCCGTTCGCCCGATTCTCGCCGACACAAGACAGAAGTGAGATCATCCATCGTCCATTTGAACGTCCACCACACGACCCAGCCATTGTTTCCTTCCCACTCAAAACAACACAGCGACACCCTTAACTACGGCCGCGTTCCTCTCTCACAAAGTTATCTCCTTTCCCAGTCCATCCCAGTACAACCGACGTGTCCTTCCTTGACAAGATTTTATCAGCCATCACAAGAGCAGGGCAATTTTACTTACCTGGTAGGATTGAACAAAGACCACCAACCTCAATCGCTCGGAGGGTATAGACCTTAGGGCAAAGGCGGGCAAGAAAGATGTCGGTGAATAGTAAAAGAATCGGTCAGTTTCCCTGGTTGCGTTCCCTTTGCCAACGGCGGGGGCAACCGTCTGTTCTTCTCGCACATCAACCTCTTTCGGCCGCGGTGGAGCTCGAGAAGGGATCATCTCTTTGGACATGGGAATCCTTTGAGAGCGGCTTGAACGCACGAATTGGTTGAGAAAAGGGTGGATGGATTGATGGACAAGCCCATTGCGTTGCATTTGATGCGACTTACTTACTGACATCTCCTCATTTGCAGCGAATCCGGTCTTATTGTACGTTTCCTCCCTTTCCCAGACACATAATACACCGCTCTACCGGCGGGACATCTGAGTCGAGCTGCCTCCTCCAGGAGCCCGTCACCCTCGTGGCCCATCTTGTCGAGTCCAATGTGTCTACCACTCGCCATGTGGCGGAGGCCTGGGGTCTTGAGAATGCTGCGGCGACCTTTTTCACTGACGTTGCTGACTTGCGCCTGGCGATCTGCAGTATCTGCGACATCCAGGAGAAATTCCGCAGTGCGATCTGGGAGTTCCCAAAGGTGTACGTTTCCCAAAACCCCTTGTCACCGCCTTCCGCTCCCCCGTTCCGGGGACCACGGAGTGGTTGGAGTGCCAGATACGGTCGGGTTGAATAATACTCATACGGGTATGCGTAATGGACAGGATAGCCACGAGTCAGAAGCTGGTTAAAGCAGGTAAGGAAGGACAAAAAGGGACTATTTCCTCTTCCACATAGCATTCCCTTCTCCGCCCCTCCCCTTTCCCTCTGTCGTCTTTTCCCTTCTCATCGCAAACAATGGTACGCTAATCAGCTACCGTCTCACCTGCACAGCCAAAATTCTCAACATCCCCGTCTTCGTGACGACGCAGAATGCCTCGCGCCTAGGCGCCACCGTCGCGGAGCTCACCTCGCTCCTCCCCGAGGCCACGCCCGAGGCGATCGACAAGACGGCCTTCTCGATGCTCGTCCCGGCCCTGCAGTCGCACCTCCGGACCCTCGCCGCGTCGCCGAGCGAGAAGCTGTCCGTCCTGCTGGTCGGCATCGAGACGCACATCTGCGTCACCCAGACGACCCTCGACCTGCTCGCGGCGGGCCACCGGGTGTACGTCATCGCCGACGGCGTGTCGTCGTGCAACGCGGGCGAGAGGCCCGTCGCGCTGGCCCGGCTGGCCAGGGAGGGCGCCGTCGTCACCACCAGCGAGAGCGTGCTGTTCGAACTCGTCGGCGACGCCAAGGACGACAAGTTCAAGGCCGTCAGTGGCCTGGTCAAGGAGACCAAGGAGGACACCAGGCAGGCTGTGGAGACGTTTTGTCGCTTGTAGTCTGGCAAGCGGGATTGGGGACATGGATGGACTGAGATGATAGAACCGGGAAGAGGAAGCAGAATGTCGCCGGCTTGGAGCAATAGAAGAGGAGACTCTGAGAAGGAGAATGCTGGAACTCCAGAAACAAAGGGGGGAAGACAAATCACTGCTTGCAGTCTTAGCACTCAACGCAAGGAAAAGGGGTGAATGGATGCGGACTACTCAATCTTCCAGCTCCTACGGCGAGAGGGAATCCTGCTGCTCGACCAAGATTTGTTGTATACCTCTATGCTTTTGCGGACAAGAGCACCATGTGCGGTCCGAACGAACTGGGAAAGCAAGCAAAGAGCAAGAGTTGAAAGATCGTCCGTTTTATAACTCGCAAGCTTCCGCTGAAAACAAACACGAAGTCAAGACCCAGAAAGCTCAATCCCGCCGCCCGCTTGTATCCTACTAACGAACTCTCATCAAAGGAAAAGACATTATACGTCCAACCGCACTATAGAGGCTGGATTTGCAGGCGTCGACCCGAGTCTGTACGTCGACACCACCAGCATGCTATCGCCGCAGGTAATATGATACAGCAGCAGGGACAGCGACGATTGCGACGACCAACACTAGATTTCTTGAGAATTTTGTCAGACACGCCTTGGTGACCGCGAAGGTACAGGCTCACCTGGTGTTGCAAATCCTCGACATGAACGATTCCGGGGTAGTTTCTGGGTTTCCATTGGCGGTTGGTCCCGCCGGTTGCTTTTCGGAGGGAACAGCGTCAGTGCCTGAAGTTGCAGGAGGCGAGACATTCCCGTTGGTAGCGATCGAGTATGGCGGTGGAGCAAAGTCCGGGATTGAATCCTTTCTGGTGGCGATATCATCTCCTGCTATTTTGCCTGCACTATCGTCAAGATTGACTTGCTTCACGTCGATGATCTTAGGATCTTGCGCGCTAACTCCGTTCTCTTTGGAATCATGAGGCTCGAGGAGATTCGACACGACCTCTGCAGCAGGAGGGTAAGGTTCAACATCTTTGTGCTGTGATGGAAGACCATTCTCGCTCGGGCGAACAGGTTCGTCTTCTATGATGTGAGCGTCCCTTGTATTGAGGATGGAAGCAACGGGCTTGGAGATCTGTTCACTAGCGTCTTCGGGCGGGGACTCAGACACCTGAGCTTTGACGGAAATGACATTGTTGACATTGCCTTGTTCATCATTTGCTGGAACCAGTCAGCGTTGCGCATTGGACAGTCGAGAGCTAGGCGAGACCTGTTGGGCTTGATTCATCCAGGGCCCACCAATCACCAGGTCCGAGCCTGAATTTGTATTGGTAATCACCAGGCTCGAGGTCAGCCTTGTACAAGAAGACGTTCTGGGTAGAGCCGGTCGTTGGGGCCGTCTCGAAGCTCATCTCTCTCGGGGACCACTCCGTGAACGATCCAGCAATATACACTGGAGGCTGGACGTTGTCCTTTTCGAATGTAATCGTGATTGCCACCATCTCGAAGGTCTGTAGTGTGACGATGAATAGTTCGAGGAGCCTTCTAGAGAAACTGCAGCACACACAAGGTGGACCGACTGCAGCGGAGAGCAAGAGAAAAGTTGTAGGAAACCGAGGTGCCTTGGATATCACTAGACCGCAAGAAATCATAATCAGCAAGACATCGGGGTGGTAAGGATGGGGTTGCATATCATAAACAGCTGGGTTGCCACGGTTCCAACACAACGCGAGGTTGTTGGCTTTCGCGAGGTCGCACCTGAAGAGTATCCTGGTTATTTGCCCTGAGACGGCTGCGACTGGCCCCAGGCTCGTGGTGATGCGTAAGGCCTTCCTCGCTATACCAAAAGCCCTTACTTATCCAACGAACCATGCCCGGATGAAGCACTGCCCCTTGTTTGGACTAGCAGCAGGAGATTCACAGGCCAGTCATACATGACAATACGGCCACGAAAGGTCTTTGCCTCGGCGATGAAGGCGCGGCGGCACCAATCTAGTATGTCCCCTTCCCAATTGATGCAAAGGAAACCACAAGAAGAGATAGGCAAAGATAACGAAAATCGGAAGAGAGAAATCGCTACATACCTCGTGGATGATGGGGATGACAATTCCCTGGAAGCTGCACAGCTCTCAGAACCAAGTGTCGTTGACTGGTGACCACCAGCTTGTAAATTCCAAGGTTGCAGGGCTATCATAGAGGAGCAGGACCCTGAATCCGAGAAACTGAGATCGGACCAAGCTATCCAAAGTCAGGAGATGTCAGCTCTCTGATGTTTATGTGCGGCAATACCCGGTTGATCTTCAGGACAAATCCGCCGATGGCTTTTTCGGACCGAGATTGTGATTGATCGGTGGAAGAAAAGGGATGGAGGTTGTGTCAAGGGCGAGCTGAGGAATTCGGACCGCAGGCAAACCACTCCTCGAGAAACGAACAAGTTGGGAATCTCTGACCGCAACCAACATCTCAAGAACACAAGAACAAGCTGGGACACAAAGCCAGCGTCATGGCATCCCACCTGTCATACCACGGCCCCCCAGTTTTCCGGGGGAGCTTATGGGCTTGAGATGCCATCGTCCCAAAGGCCTGGCAGGCTGGGCGCGGCACTCGTAAACTCTTCCCACGCCCATGTGGGACAGAGGCGTCAATGGCATGCAGCAGCAGCAGCATTAGCTTTGAGGACCGGAGACACATGCTTGGTGCCCGCAAGGTTTGTGCCGGGGATGCATGCAATCTGGATCTCGCGAGGGAGGAGTGGGAAGGCTGACATGTGTCGATTGGCGCGGAAGAGGCGCACATGTGAAAGCATGGCATGCGGTGGCATGTGCCTTGATAATGTTTCCAGGGTTTTGTTGGGATGTTCACAGCTGAGCCGGCTCCTGGTGGCACCCATCGTCCTATCAGCCCGTCAACACATCAGCCCCTCCTCGTCCACTCGGCGCCGCCCTCGACATCACGCAAACCCAGCCACAGTGGCGGTGTTGCTGCTGGACAGAAGACACCCAGAACAACACCCAGGGAACCCCCGCGTCCGCCGTTTCGAAGAGAAGATCGTTTTCGAGTGTTGTCTGCGCATAACCACTTCAGCTGCCCTCTCCTCAGGTCCACCAACTCTGAAACCATCTGCTTGGGCTTCCAGACACGGGAAGGATTTTGCGGAATGTTATCTTCACTGGTGGAAGTGAGCGTTGCAAGAGACAGAAGAGACGGCTTTACAAAGGAACCAGAGACCAGACAGGCGTGAGTGATACCTATATATGCCCCATTCGCTGAAGGACGAAGAACGTTGCTCGGAAAGACATGTGAAATTTCTCTGGTTACATGCGTCGAGATATGAAGCATGTGCGCGATAGAGAGACAACCCGTTTAACTGGCCACAGGTGATCGCCCACTCAACCGTTCAACTTCGCAGCTATCTGTGCATATCCCTAATGATCCCTTCGACCGTCTGGAGCGATTCTCTGATCTTGGGACAGTAATGTCTCTTCAACAACTCGGCCTCCCAAACCCCGCTACCAGTCCCTAGCACGTTTGTGCCTTCCACGCTCTCGCTTTCGCCCCTGTATACCCCATCTCCTTTCCTTTCGTCGCTGTACCATAACGCCTCGATCTTGCGGCCGTGTTTATCTGCAATCTTAGCCATCAAACTCAGCACGGCCAACGTGGATTTCTCAGGCAGCTGAAGCGAGACGGTAAGTAGGCGCTTGAAGAACGACAACACCGTCTGTGTGGGCGGTGGGGACGAGGGCGTCAGCAGGATAGATGCCAGGACGCGCGTGAGTAGAAGGATCGGTGTAGAGATGTTGATTCGGTTATGCGCTGGGCTTGACGCTGACGACGATGCAGGTTTTGAGGAGTGGGGATCGGGGAGACGCAGCGACTTCGGTCCAAGTTCGACGTCCGCGTCCAGGGAGACGGGGTATAGTGAACGGTAGGTATGCGCGGTGAAGAAACTCAGGTCGAGATGTAAGCCCGAGGCGGCTCTGGAGACCTCCTGGCCCGAGAGCAGCGTGAATGCCGTTTGTGTCGCAAGCAGGCCTTCGCGTTTCCTGTTGCGGATCGTCTCACCGTCCGCGTTTGTCGCTATCATCCTCTCTACTTCGGCAGCTTCGTCCATATCCAGGTCGCCCCTCACGGCCTCATCAGCCGCGCTTACAATCTCCTTCAGCGCCTCCAAGAGGTCTCCAAAGAAATCCTGATTGATCAGATGCGCATACTTTGCCAGTCCTTCCAGCACAGCACCCATGAGTTCTGGTATTCTGGCTTTCAGAATGCGAAAATACGATACAAACACCAATTTCAGAGTTTCCGACTGGATCTTCTCGCGCTCTTCGTGGTTGACCAGCGCCGACGCTTCGGCCATGTCTTTCTCGACTTCGCGGCGCTGCTTGCGCAATTTTCGTTCGCGCTTGGAAATGTGCTGGGAGGTCTGTTGCTTCACCTTGCGTCCGTGCAGCTTTGACGGCTGTTCTGACCTTTCCGGGTTGCCGCCGGAGCCAGGTGGTGGCAGCTCGGATAGGAGACGTAGATGGAAGAAGGTATTCAGCACTTCTTCCCTGACTCGGTAGTCCTTGGCTTTCATCATCTTGGAGAGCAGGCTGACGGCTTCGAAGGACGGGGCTCCGTCTTCATCATGTGAGAAGAACTCCTCAAGTGTCTCGATGCATTTGAGATAGTCGGGCGAGGATTCGCGGCTGGCGACTTCGTGGACGAGGATATTCAGCAGCTCTGTCCGGAAATTGAAATGTGGCACTGAAAGCAGCAGTGTGCATGCACAGTTGATCGCAATAGTGCGCAAGGAGAGTGTCTCTGCATCGCCCTTTCGGGTCTTCGCGAGACTGCCCAGTTGTTTGACGTATCCTTGGTACCCGGTGACGAGGGCGTGCTCGTATTGTCTCGTCTGTCGCACGTCTTTCGAGATTTTATTCCCCAATTCTTCATTTTTGTAAGAACGTATGCGGTAGCCCGGGATTACGTCCTTGTACACCGCTGCTTGTGCGGCAAGAACCAGCTTTTGAACCGCGATCGGCGAAGTCGGGCTCGAGACTTGCGCCAGCTTCTTGAAGGAGCCGGCATGTTCTTCAGGATCTTCATTCAGTAGACCTGCAAGACGGGCGATCTCTTCTTTCGCGGCGACAATCTGTTGTTTGAGAGGGATTTGCGGAGCGGAGGGTTCTGTCTCGGTGGGAGGGGTCTCGTCCTCCTCGCCTTCGTCGTCTGTGCCGGATCCCAGAAAACTATCGGAGTCTTCCCCATTGTCAATCGGCGCCTTTTCTTCTATTATCTGTAACCTGCCCTCGGCGGTCTTAATGGGAAGTTTCGTTGACTCTTTGGTCTTTTTCTGCCTCGACTTCTTCTCGTATTCTTGCTCAAGATCCCAATCTGCGGCGCGGACGAAGAGGTCAGAGGCCTTGATAGTCTGAGAGGATTTGCTGTCGTCGACCGGCGGAGAGAGGCGCCTCCGTTTTGCTGGACGGCCGTGAGGCATGGTTATACTTAACGAGAAGCCTCGCGCACTTAACACCATGTGCACATCTCAGAGGCTGTAGAGGATCAAAATTTCGGTCAAAGGTCGAAGAAAATGTTCCCCCGAGGTTCTGCCGCTCCGCAAAAATTATTTCGGACTCGATAATTTTGATAACCCGCACTCTTCACCCACCCGTGTACTCCCAGGATCTCCTAAGCTTCTTCTCTGCAGGTGGCCAGCTTCTTTCCAAGAGCAGAAGCCAACATGAGGCCTCTTACCGACGTCGAGACGCAAACTCTCTTCACAAAACTGGCCAACTACACGGGCCGCTCTCTCACCCAGCTCATCGCACCGAGCGACTCCGACAAAGGCGACCGCTATGTCTTCCGCCTGCACGAGTCGCGCGTCTACTACGTCCGGCTCTCTATCGCAAACCTGGCCACCTCCATTGCCCGCGACAATCTCCTCTCCCTCGGCACCTGCATTGGAAAATTCACAAAGACGGGCAAATTCCGCCTGCACATCACCGCCTTGGACGTGATTGCTCCGCACGCTCGTTACAAGCTATGGGTCAAGCCGAACGGTGAAATGCCGTTCCTGTATGGTGGAAATGTGGTAAAAGCGCATGTTGGGCGGTGGAGTGAGGATTGCCCTGAACATTCCGGCGTCGTTATCCTCGCGATGGATGATACCCCGTTGGGCTTCGGCGTGACTGCCAGGAGTACGGCGGAGGCGAGGAAGCTGGAGCCCACCAGCATTGTGGCGTTCCGGCAGGGCGATGTTGGCGAGTATCTGAGAGAAGAGGATACTTTGTTCACGACTTGAACGCCGAGCTTGTAAGACCATGTCTTCACTTCAGAAGGTTGGCATGGAGGATCTCGTACGAAAGCCAGCTGAGTATGGGGTTGTGATTGACCCAATTCATCAGCAGGGCTGTGGCTAGGATGTCGTCTCCTGTGCCATCACACCAGCTTCCGACATCGGACGACGCTTGCATGAAGCGAAAGAATGAGTTACAAAGGGCAGGCAGCTTCGAGCGCTATACCGGCTCCCAGTTCAAGAATCTTCGTTGGCCGATGGCCGAGCGGGGGACTTACTTCCGTCGGTGACACGGGCGGGATGTTTGCTGAGTCCGGATGGGCGATGAATGTGGCACCTGGCCCTGGAGAGGTGGTCTAAGTGGGAAGGTTGCATGGTTGGTAACTTCGAAGTTGTCGATTGCCAGCACCAACATCTGGGGGAATGACACGAGATGACGCGAAGAAATGTGGTGGAAGCGAGATGCTTGAGGTTCTACCGGCAACAGATCTCAAAACCTTCCCGAGACCGAGCAATTGGATTTTGGCCCTGATCGGAGAGTCAGCGCCAGGAACTCGTATGGAGTTTTCAATCTACACATAGCGAGGTCTTGGATGGTGATCCTTCCCTCCCTCCAAATACACTCCTGGAGAAACAGGGACGATATACCTCGTAGAGGCATCCTATTCCAACCCATCAGACATCCAGTCGACAGTGGCGAAAACATTTCCTAGTCTGAGGTCTCGCATTTTCAATATGGCCATGGATGCCATGAGGACAGCCTCTCCTTTCTATGTATTGATCAGACGGGCCCCCGTTCTCTCACGAAGACTTAACTTTGCTTGACCTCGACTTGGCCATACAGCCAGCCTCGCGACCGAGTCCAATCTGAACAAAAGGCGTGCGGTGATTGGCGGAATCTTTCTGCTCCATCTCACAAAAAGCTGGTCGTGGAAATTTAGGCGAGCGGGCGGCGGGCCTTCGTCTCCTGTCCTGTCTAGCTTGAGTGATGTACCTCTTTAGAAAAGTGCTATACTGCAAGTGACAAAACGTGTGAGTATAGCTGTGATAAGTTGGCGGGGCTTGCTATGTATTTGCATCTGCCGAGTTCTGACGCTGAGAGCCTCGCCAGAAGCGCAGGTCCCCGAATTGTCACGCGAGCAAGGCACTGTGGTCGATCGTGAAACGCATGGAACGTAGAAGAGACAAACGCCATTGTTCTGTACATTCGGGCAAGCCGCCCTGCCACCAAGTCTCATAAACGGTCTTGCTTGCCTGTGGGAGCTATACTCCGTTATTTGAGTCTTTTTTTTTAAATGTCTTTACCCTGCCCGCAGATCCAGCACTGGTGTTTATTTGCCTTTCGAAACCAAGTCCTCGACAGTTTTCCTCGCCTCGGTCGCCTTCTCATCCGCCCAGTCCGTCGCAAATTTCGTGTGCGCCCTCGTCTGCTTCCACGCTTCTTTGGCAAACCCACTTATTTGGGAGTGGGTTTCGCTGATCGCGGGTACCTTTTTCTCATACTCCCAGATCAAGTCCGAGGTGTTCCGCATCGTCACTGGGATGAGGTACCAGCCCGCCGCGATACCCACGGCAAGCGGGAACGTGGTCCGTAAGAAGATCCCCCGGTTGCGAGCTACAATGGAGCCTGTGAGTGTCGCTACCAGCACGTAAATGGCTCCGGGAAGAAGTTGTTCGCCGGTCTCGGGGGCCGGGGCCAAGGAAGCAATGGTGTTGCTGAAGTCTGTTTCCTTCCGGAATGCCCATGACAGGAATTTGTTGAAGGATGTTTCGGCGGCGAGTGATTGATCGTACAGGAACAAACGGACCTTCTTGACATGCACTGTGAGTCGGTCGGTAGGTGTGGGTGAGTGCGGATTTGGTTTCGAGACCGGAGAAGTGGGCGAGGGCTCGGGAGTGGTGGGTGCGACTGGGAAGTCGGAGTATATGGGTTTCTTGTCAGGGAGCTATAGAAGCATCAGCGATGCAATTCCAAGTAATAACAACAACCTCCTTCGTACCTGGTCCTTTGAGGGAGCCTCTGCATATACTGTGCGGAACGGGGAGGGAAATGAATGGACTTGGGTCGCCGCAGTTGCTCCCAGGGCGAATACTGCGGCTTGTCTCGACTATGCAAGGGTTAGCATCGTGGAGGAGGTCGGCGAAGGTCACTTACAGCTCGCAGGAGCCTTACTCGCGCCATGTTGAGAGAGGTTGAACAATGGTTGCTGCTGGCGCAGGCTTGGGAATCATACGAGATTCAACTTTGAACTGTCAATCGGAGCTTGGGATGCGAATCGGGCAACCGGTCTTGGCGGCCAAGTTGCGCGAAAACGACTCGGAGCTCACGTGCGACTCACCTGAGCACTCGCCCTTCATCTTGAACATATTACTCTACAGTATAATACAGCGCCAGCTAGAACCCAGAATTATCAGTCGCGCGTTGCCCATTCCCTCTTTGACGCCCTTTCGACTTTCGACCACTTTCTTGCCCCTTCAGAAGTGACTAAACTGAGGATACCTCTCAGCATTCTAAAGACTTGGGTTGCCATTCAGAATACGCTCGACATCCTCCATCCTGGCGTATATGAACTTTAGTTCTGCTCAGATCAGAAATTGGCCATCATGCTTGGACTGGAATCTGGCGCAACGAAGAAACTTACCACCTTCGTTCAAACGGTTGCTCTGCTTTGCCGGAAAGCTCTCCATCTGCCTGCTAATGATCTCGTGGGGAGTGCCCATGATGAGTGGATCTCGTAAAAACAACTCGACGTTACTCTGCTCTTGTGGCAACGCAGTGCGGATGATGTTGGTGGCTGCTCCCAAGGACAGAAGCGTGGACGTGCACGAGGGCAGCGCGGCTGCAACACAGTAATGTAAGAGAGTCGCGCTAGTTTTGTCTACCACAAAGTCCACGTCTAACGCGCCATCATTAATGTAGTCCCGCAGCAGGATTGAAAGCTCCTCGTCCCTCTGCTCAATTTGATGGACGTCGGCTCGCTCCAAAACCAGTTTGTTCGTCGCGTTCATCCGTATGAGATCTGCTAGCTCGGCAACGCCCTGGCCTCGACACTTTACGTTGGCGCCAGCTTCAAGCGGGGATCTGAACGCACTAATGTCACCGACTCTTGCTAAGCATGACAGCGGCGTCAATCCTTCCGAACTTTGATAGTTCGTGTCTGCCTTGTGCCTGACAAGACACGCAACCATGGCAGGAAGAACACCGGTTGGATTAACATGGTATGCAAGCGCATCATGCAGAAGCGCCAGCGCAGTGCGGCCACTTCTATTCTGTAAATTGACGTTGGCGCCAGCATCACACAAAGCTTCCACCGCCTCGATGTCATACTTGGTGACAGCAATCATAAGCGGACTAAGGCCATCTACGCCGCTGAGGCCGGGCTCAGCAGGGGTATTGGTCAGTTGATCAATGTCGCCGCCTACTGCTTGTAACCATTCGATTGTCTTTTGTAAGTTCCTGCGTCGTGTTTCGATATCTCCTTTGAGAGCTGGGTACCAGAACCGTGAGCCCGAAAACGTCCTGCCAATGCGCTGATACGACAGGCGATGAAAAGGGGTATAGCCTTCTTCGTCTGCAGAGAGAAGACTGGGATTCTTACCCGCCGCGAGGGGCGAGATGGCGTGCAGACTCTGCCAGTTGTGGGCTGCTGTGGCTAGGTCGACCGGGGTCATGCCGAGCACATGTTCGGGTGTCGCTGAATACTCGCCCTGCTCAGTGTTGCCATGGCGATGCATTTGACGCGCATTCTCGTCACAAATGTACGGGTCGTCGCCGTTACGGATTGTCGGGTCTGCCGCTGCATTGAGAAGAGCCGAGATCGCTGGCTGGGAGGACGTCGCTACTGCCCAATGAAGCGGCGTGCCAGGCGGCCACGTAAACGGAAAATGAGGGTTGAACAGAGGACGCGTTGTTGCGAGGCTATGGTTGACATTGGCTCCTGCATCGACCAAGGCGCGAAGAACAAGGTTGATGTCTCGTGCAGGGAAATTGAACAGCCAGTGTAAACAGCCGATTTTGTAGTCACTGTGGGTATGATCAGCGGCGGCGCCTCGCTTGCAGAGCTCAAGGACAACTTGAGAATGGCGTGCCATGCAGGCCTTAGACAGGGGAGTCGCCTCTGCGAACAGGGCCGAATGTAGGCCATAACCTGAGTTGTTTCGAAATCGATCTGACGCCGCTTGTGCACGTTTAGGATTAAGAGCAGTCAGTTTCCTAAGTGCCAAAAGGGAGCCCGTTGAAGCTGTGCTGAACAACCACTCGTCTCGTTCCGCATTGCTCAGGTAGTGTGATATAGGTAAACCGTAGGAACGCTGCACTGTCTGTGCAATGCCTTGTGCAGGGGGATGTTGCTATATAAAATTTTGTACCTCTCAGTATATCTGCTGCGCCTAGTATATAGCTATAACTATAGGACGAATTAGGGCCGTCTAGATAAGTGCGGCGTGAAGGGTACGCAACCGCCTCCTCGCGTTTAGCTTATATGACTCGCCGCCAGGAGCGTTCCGGAGAAAACCACCACATTAGTCGTTTCGTCCTTCGTAAATGCTCTGCGGTTCTTCATCACCTTCTACTGGAATAAGTAGCGAATGGTAAGTTGGACGCTCTTTGTCGTATATTTTTTGCGGGATGCTAGTCTGCCTCCTACATGAACGCCAACGTCGTTTCCGAATGGACAACACTGTTGGCTGGTGGACCTAGAGTTTCGTTCGGTCCTAGGCGAGGTGCGACGGAATCAGGGAGGGAGGAGGCATTTGATCCATGGCTTGTGACTACTAGCTCGTGATCGTTGCGATTATTGAGAATGGCCAGTCGAAATCGAATGCGTCCTGAAAATCATCCATCACGTCGAGGAGCGCCTGGGAGGGAGTGGGTGGATTGTAAAGTGGTCCAGGGAAACTGATATTGTCCTGTTTCTCGGAGTCCTGGCTACGGAGGGGGAAGCCGTCAACCCAAACCCCTTCCTTGGAGCGAACATCTTTGTCAACACTTTTGTTTCATCACAGTAATCTTCGATTCTGCTTTTGGACAGCATGCACATACATATCTTGCAAACTAAGTTATGTAGAAGCAATCATCTCATTACCAACTGTCGGTCGAGTCCTCAGCGCCGATTTAGACGTTTTGCAGCTCACACACACGACGAGCTGCGGCCGGCGTCGCGGGGAAGCTTCCTTCCGAAGGTCTAATCATACTTTGCACGCCTGTCAAATTCATCCCCATGGCAAGTCGACAAACATCGAGGCAGAAATTTAACATATCAAGAGCATGAGATGGCATTTCACTCGTTGGGCTGGTCCTCGTAGAAGACCAACGACCGGACCTCGACGCTCTCCCTGACCAAGTCCAGATCCTTGGTCTTTGGATCTATAAAAGCCGAGTGTGGTACCCTCCTCGCCGTCTCCCCGTCGCTAATCGAGTCGAAGCACTTGATCAGCAGGACCTCGTCCGACGTCATTCCACTGGCGTAGTACCACTGGTGTTCCGGATTGTACTTTGCGTAGAACAACTCGAACCTTTTGCCGGCCGTGATGGTCGAGTACTTCATCCCGGTGCCCTTGGCGGGCAGGTTCGCCGTCACGGGAATGAGTTCGTCGTCGCGGACGGTGCGGGCGTCGCAGACGGCGAGAGGGTCTTTGATGACGGGCCCGTTGATCGGCCGCCAGACGTTGATGATGGACCAGCGCGTCTTGACGAGCTGGTCGACTTCCGCGGCCGGCATGTTGTCGCACAGGACTTCCAGGGCGCCGTCGGTGGATTGGTCGATGTGGATGTAGTGGGCCGGGGTGACCTGGGTGACTTTCGCCCCGTTTTGAATCGCGCTGTTCTTCTGGAGGTCCAGCTCGAGTTTGTCGCGAGAGTCGCGGCGTGTGATGTGGGAGAAGACGTGGACCCGCGTGGCTCCCGTCCTGGCGTGTGTGAAGGCGCAATAAGTCAGCAACCGTGAGCGAACCCAAGGGAGGGGAAGAAGATAAGGCAGCTCGTCTCTCTCTTGCTTACACTTTCTTCAACAGCTTCTCGACCTCGGGATAGACGATGCGTTTGACTTCCTTGTCGGAAAGATACTCCTTCTCTACGCTGGTGTGCTTCACAAGCTGGAAGCCTTGTTTGCTGACGTCAAAGTCATCAGAGTGACCTCGAATGTCGTGGATTCGGACCGGCCTCTCGTCGAATTTGCGGCGGAAGTAGCCCGCCGTTCCTGCTTCGAATGATGAGTGGCCTCCTAGCGCTGGATCAAGGTAATAGTTCAAGGAAGTGTCGATGTCTCCACGAGAGCTTCCCACTTCGACTGCGGTGGTGTCCAATGCCATCCTGAAGAATCGTAGCCAAAGGAGTTCGGGAGCTATCTGCGGGAGAATTGCACGAGGAAGAGTTCATTCACCTTCACCCTCTGGGGGAGAGAGAGAGTAAATGGTACCGAGACTGCATGGCCGAGGTAACTAATACATCGTCCTGCCTGTGCCAAACCCTCGGAGACAGTGCGACGTTGGAACCGTGTCACACGGCCCGTCAAGGGAGCTGAACCTCGAGTAATAACCAATAGCCAATCCCTCCGACGCCGTCCTCGACCAATGGCAAAGGCTGTTGGCTTATAACAATAAAGATCTCGTAAGCGCGCAGTCTATACGACGCACTGACCGACGCGGTATGCGCGATGGTGTCACGGCTGAGGTTGCGGGGCTGACGGTGGATACGAGATGACGGACCGCGCACGGGCGCCTAAGGCAAGAACACCCCAGACGAGCTTAAAATATAGCGACTGAGGGTTTGAACGTGGGTCGAATGAAGCTCTACGCGAGTTTGGCGTCGCAGTCAGGCCACGGACCCCAACTTTTGATCGACGGCATCGAATGCACCTCCCCGCTTTGCGACGGCCGGTTTGACAGAACACCCCCGTGATCTTCTTTCTCTGAGGCGTCAGCGACATCTTACACGGCAAATGAGGAGCCACGTTTAGAAGAAGCTATATCTCGACACACCAGGTGCCGTATATCCAGCTGCGCGAGCTGCTCTGACCGCTCAAAGAGGCTTGCCCGACGAGGTGACCACAGGGTTGAACGACTGCAAACCGGAATCTTCTCCTTGTAAATCCCAACCTCGCGCGAGCCAGGCCGGCGACTACCCCGTAATGTGCAGTTTCGATCTCATCGTCAAACCACGAGGGAGGAACGCCGCAGTTGACAACGGTGCTCCTTAACTTTTGTATAGCTCGCGCAAGCTTCCACGCCGTTCTCTTTCCCCATGCCGCTCTCTTTGAAGCCTCCCTGGGTATGTGATGGCAGTAGAGCTGCTTCTCGATAATGGCGCAGACATGGAGCCTGACGGACAATTGCTTCGGTCAGACGCTGCTGTCGTGGGCTTTGATCGAGTGTCTCTGCCTTGCCACCTGGCGTCAAGGTAACGAATCGCTAGATCGTGCATCGCCCTCAACAAAGTCGCAGAGAGAGGTGGCGGCCATCCTTCTGGTGAATGATGATAGATCCGCCCTGGATGAGAGTAACAAGAGTGGACGGCAAGTGACATGTTGCATGCTCTTGAGGGAAAATGGGCCCAGTCCAGCGTTCGATGAGTGACCATCCGTCAGCCGCCAAAACATAAGATGCCCGGAACGAGAAAAAAGTCCTCCGGTTTGCGGAAATGGGATGTTATGAAGAATGGTTTGGAACAATGGGTATTTTTCATCAAGTACATGCGTGATATGATATGCCAGAGCAAGTGGCTAATTATCCAACAACTAACTGACAGTGTTTGCCAATGGCTATACCGCATTAGCTGTCTCCACGACCCTCGGCTCCTTTTGGAAGTCGCATGGATCGAGTCCTTCGGCGGTAGAGCACCTGGATGTGCTAATGGACATATTTGTTTCAAACGGGTTCCTGGCAGGTATGACTTCGTCGGCGTGGCCATGCCCATGATGAGCAAAGCGCGCCGATTCGAAGTCAGCTCGGTGGTTTTGGATGTCCAGCTTTTCGTTTAAATGGGTGGAGAGGCCGGTGGCGGCTTGTCGGCGGTCCAGCTCGATTGTCGAGGAGCTTTGCATGTCATGGTTTAAAATCATGGCATGGATCATCCAATCCAGTTTTGATTTTGGGGCGGCACCCATCAATTCACGACGGCGCCACCAAAACATGCTCGAGCGGACGATTGCAGCAACAGCACAGCACAAGAAGAAGAGTCCGACCACCAGGAAAGGTATCGAGAGTTGGACGCGGGAAAAGGATGTGCTGAAGACTCTGTGAACCGCCTGTCCGGAGATGGCATCTTTCGTAATCGTGTAGGCTTGATAGAACCTGATCAGCTCGGACGGCGGAACTGGCTCGAGAGGCTCGCCGGAGTACCACAGTTTGACCCAGTCAGCGAAATAGTAGGCCTGGTACGACTCAGGAACGTCCTCAGGCTGGCCATTGTCAGGGTAAGCCCCGTACTTATGATCCGGAATGGGCCGTACGACCGCCAGATGGCAGTCGACGCGTGTGAAGGTTAGCGAGCCAATCGGACCGGGTTCAAAGTAGCAGGAGCTGTTCTGGGGGGCTTCAATGGCGTTTTCGAAGATGATCGAGGCGATCGACACGTTCGTATAAGGGGAAACTGGAGCATCTGGATCCGGAAAGTAGAGTCCAAATGCGGTCCGGATGTCAAAGGATAACGTGCTGTCTGCATTTGCGAGGTTGTTGCCGACAGAGCTTACTCTCCAAGAGTCGGGAGGGTTGGGGAAGGCTGTCTCAAAGGCAGGGACATTGGTCCAGAAACTGGTACAATCATTCGTAGCGTAAGCCTTGAGCACAGTCTTTGGGGTTTGCTTGCATTGCATCGACCACGAGGAGTTCCATTCGTCCGGGATGTACGTCCAGTTGTGATTCAAGTCTGGGAGATAGTCCAAGAGTTGATCATAGGGGAAACCAGCACTGTTCAGTCGCGCCATGGTCATGTTGATGTCGACGTTCGCGTATTCCACGCCTCCCAGGCCTCTGACGGCCAGTGTTCCGGTGAGATTCGCGGGATACACCACGTCGTGGATTCTGGTGGAGACTTTGGCGATGGGGCCGCCGAGCAGCGAGACGAGGGTCAGCGCGACCACGACCGCACATTGGCCCAGGATATTTGCGTGCCGTGATGAGAAGAGGCTGCGTCGAAACAGGAAGGAGACATCCAGCACATCGCTGACCGTGGAAATGTTCACCAACGTCGGCAGGAAGACACGCTCCCTCCGCTTAATCTGCGATACGCTGGACTGCCAAAAGAGTTGAAGGAACCCAGCCATGCCCAGGGTAGTCAAGACCGAGATCAGCACGCTGATCCCGGCTTGAACTTCGGCTCGATCCCATGTGGAGGGCAGAGTGACCCATGCTGAGGCCATCGCGGGTTGTTTGACGGTGGTGATGCGATGGAAGTGAGGAGCACCCGTCGACACTGCCTCCACAAGTCTTTGCTCACAACGAGCACGGTTTTTCCAGGAGTTGCCATCGTGACCTATATAAATAGGGTTCCAGCAGAAAGCCCCCTAGCGGTTGATGGCGACGCCTCTGATAAAATTGGCCATGCAGACTTCTTCTTGCACCAGCCAGCCACTCATCAGCTCTCGGCGACCTCTGACCATTTCGAATCTGCGCTGATACAGCAGACACATTTATTGGCCCACTTGGTCTGGCACACTGCACATGGAGGTGGTCGCTTAGATCGCTTGAGAACAAGTCTGTGAACCGCATTAGCGGGCTGTCCCCTGCGGGAGAAAAAGAGGCAGTCTGAAAGGGGCACTTGTAGCAGTAGGTTCGCTATTTCAGAGACAAGCTTCCCCGAACGGGCTGCCCTGATCTTGTTTGCGGGCCATCCGAAGCCACATGGTTCAGCCACTTCTCGCTAACACCATGTGTTCGCTAGCCATCAGCCCCGGATTCGGCTTGGTGGCACTGGTTGGTGGATGCTGTCACAGGAGAATGCGGCGGCCTCAGCTGCTCAATAGCCGGCGCCACGTGAATCCAGGCACGTCTTCACAACATCTTTTGCCACATCGCGTGGAACTATTTCTCGGGCACAGTAGTGGAACATGGAGTCGGAGAAGGTCCAGAATCGTCCCTCGCTCAGGAGGCCCCTTCATTGTGGGTTGGATGCAAAGAGGTCCTCCGTCACTGGGCTTTTCACTGTCATGCAGATCACGAATATAATACTTGGTGAGAACAGCCTGCTCGACGCTCCTGCGGCATAGTATCGCAACAATAATCGAAGGAACAACCAGGCTGTTTCGCTGGTGCCAGCTGCGCTTAAATGCCGTCCGTGGGGGGCGAGCCTACACCATCTGGCGACCCCTATTTACCCCCCCCCCCCCCCCAAAACCCACCGGCCCCCCCAAAAGGGCCCCCTACCGCCTAGCCACCAGGACTGGTCGCGTGCTCATATGACCCGACTTACTTTCCCAGTAGGGTGGCACCAACTGGTAAATAAATGAGTGAGCGGGTGCTGCGAGGCACCCGCAAGTTGCAACAACACTCGGACGTGGCAAGCTGTGATTTTCATTGAATCTCCTATGTCAGTTCCTTGGGCTAGTGTTGTTGCGGATGGGGGTACGGTGTTCGATTGCAAGTTGTCCGCATAGTCATAATTGACCTCCACACAACACCTCCCAACACATTGGTCTTCAGCCCTGATTCTCTAGAGGGCGTCAATCACATTTTCACGCCCCTGCGAATGTGGACAGTAAGGAGGCAAGTCCAGCGCGCCAAGACCTCACTCGGCCTCAAATCTGGCAAGTCGTTCCAACTTTGGACGACGCCTTGTATTTCCTTCACAGCGACAATAAGGCCCATCCATCAAGCCAAGAATTACTGAATGCTGCAACACATGGAGATGTGAATGCGGTCGTGCTTTTGTCGAATGAAGGTGCACATCCGCCGTACTCCGAGGAAGATAACCGAGAGGCACTGTCATTTGCCTGTGAGAACGACAACGAGGAGGAATTCAAACTCTTTTTGGACGGGGACAACGACAGCATTATCGATTTGGTGCCGTACCGACTTGAAGGCAATCTCATCTAGCCTGACGTCGGTCAAATTGTAGGAAGCTGGCAGGAAGCTGGCAGGAAGCTGGCAGGAAGCTGGCAGGACGAAATCGAAGAATGACCATGTCTTATTCAAGACCAGTGTCATGGATGACTCGATCATCCTTCGACCAAGTCCTTATGTGCGAGAATCTCTCCCGACCAGGATCTGTTGAGTGAGCAGTGTTTTCCCGTAGTCTAGTTCCTGAGCTAGATAGCCGCCCTCTTCATCCTTCTCGTGATGTGGGCTGCAAGCTGCCTGGAAGCTCCGACAGGGGGCCACACAGGCACTGCGTTGGATTGTTCCAAGGGAATCTGTGAGATTTGGTCGCCCTGATGCTAGCTGGACCAGCGACAACGTCCGCGGTGCGCCTAAGTCTAGGAAAATGAGGCCGGGCTCACGAAAGCGTAAAGTTGATTTGGTACTTCTCCATGACAAGGCGCAGACCGAAGGGACCGTAGGCCCGCTTGTCGTTGTCATTCCAAACAAGTTCCAACAGCTTCCCGGCTTCGACAACTTGCGCTACCACGACCTTGCTCTCGTTATACAGCCTGCACAGGAAGAATTGGCGTTGACCCTCCACGAGGAGGCAGGACCCTATAATCATGACCGGCCACAAGAGCAGCGTTCCAAACGGTGAGTCGGCGACAGGGAGGAGCAAAGGCATCACGACGTCGATGTGGCTCTGGATGGCGGCAATGACCTTGGGGTTGTCGACCACGGAGCCGCACATTGCTGCTCTGACAAAGATCAGCAGAGCCTGCCTGTAGATCTCCCCGGTCCAAGTGTGCTCTACAGCCCATTCGGCCATTTCAGGAGCCACAGACGGTGGAGACCATTGTTCTAGACCACGGAGCAGGTTGTCATACGTGGAATGCCTATCAGACCGGTCGCGACGAGTGGCCGGCGCAGGTGCAGCTTCAGCTTGCAAAACCCCTTCTTCCTCGCGAAGCCGGTCCGTGGCAAACCTCGCGACTGGAGAAATGAGCTCAAATAAGCCTGGCGCGCAACCGACGAGGACTCCAAACGTTTTGTATTCCTGCAAAAATTCCAAAGAATCAAGGAATGAATCGTGAGGCATCGTGCGAGCTGAATCACTATATCCGCAGGGCGTGATACTGTTGGAAAAGACCAAAAACGAATACACTTCGAGGACGAAACCCATTATCGATCTCCTATCTTCGTTCACAAAGGTCTCATGCTCCTGTCGGAGAAGCGAGAGAATCACTTCGCGAACGGCCCGTAGGTGTAGAAAGAATCCGTTGCCACGAGAATCACCAGATATTGCCTACGCCAGGGGTAAATGCTTTTAGATTCGCTTCTTAATTTGCACGCGCAGCGCGAGGAAGGGCATGTTCTCCGTAGGGACTCACCTCGACATAACACAGAATCAACGAGGCCACGCCGATGCGCAGAGCCCGCTGGACATCGGCACGTACAGACTGGTCGGCGACGAGATCGGCCAAAGATCGAAGTGTCTTGGAGTAATGCCGTCGCGTAGCGATATGTATCTGATATTCCCGAGCTTTCTTGAAGCTGAGCTGGGTTCCACTTAGTGCTAACACCGCATGCATGAGGAGATCATCTGAATACGCTAGGGGCATGACAAGCGTGACATATGGGTTGTAGTGGGCTGGTTTCGCAACGAGAAATGTGGACGTTTCTTCCAAGTAGTGCTGCAGTAGCAGAAGTGAGTGAGGGCTCATCGAACTGGCCCCGTCCGAAAACACGAGGGGCGGAGACACAGTATAGTGCAAGGAGTGCGTCCGAGACGATTGACTCTCATCGGATCCTGGCTCTGGCTCTGGTGCCGGAGTCTCGTGGGGCTGCCGCGATAATGGTTCCCGTTCTTGCTGTGAAGAGCTCCAGCAGACCACGCCGGTGAACGCTTGGTTCTCCATGTGACCGTCTCGAGGATTCTCGTCGATATGTAGATCCGCCCTCGAGCCAACCATGATGCATGACGACCGCCTGAGCTGTGCGTGCTGGCCCCCAGGTTTAGACGGCCAGGTACACTCCAGAAAGTTGCGAGAGCATCCTGCACAAACGGGCTCGACCTCGTTACACTTTTTCTTCCGCCGGCGGCACGTAAGACATCCTGTGTTTGTGCGGATCCGCGTCTTGGGTTTCATCGCTTCGCACGAGCTGGTCGCTCTCCCGTTGGGTCTGGGGTTGCCGCTTACGGTGGTTCGAAGGTCCACTAACAAAGTGTTCCTACGCGGATTGATAAATGTAGCGAGAGATTGCCGAGCCCTGAACAGCCTGACTTTGCCAGAGATCTCTCGAGCACAGCAACAATGTACGACTAAAGCGCGGTTCAGGTATGCCGCACGTCCGTGAGCAATATGTTATCAATGTGGGGGAGGAGAACCAGTAGAAATCACCTTGGTAGGGTTGGGGGATTTGCTCGGCATTCTTTGCCCACCCGGTGTGCATGTGACGGCAGCAAATCGATGTATTTACAACCTGTAACGAAGCATGGACAATTCCTTACAATCCTTCCCTTACCGACAATCTTAGCCTTGGACTATGGAGCGCGGTGGTCCACTAGCTGGCAACTCTATTCTAGACTTCCAAACCACCGCGCTATGCCCTGCCCCTTGCATCCTGCTGGTGGCCAGTCCATTATTCAGGGCCTTTTCCCTCTATGATGTCGTAAAACAAGTTCTGGTTGAGGGCCAGAAAGTTCAGAATCATGAAGGAGGCCGAGGTGAATGCGCACGGCATCGGCTTAACAATCCATCCGAATGCAAAGACAGCCACGGCGAGGCCGACTAGACTATGGAAATCGTTTGCCAAGGCGTAGCAAGTGTCTTGGGGATGCCCTAAACAGACTGTATGGCTTCTCTCTTTCTGATCCAAGTAGTCGATACTTCTCAAGGACACTATGTTGGCTGCCCGTAATGAAAAACTGACGTCGAGACTCGAGCTCCAAAATGCTATTCTGTCTTCGGTAGGCATGCCTCGTACGAATTAACTATACAAGTTCCCAGGCTCGGTATTCAAAACAATTTCATGCAAAAGCTTGCACTTGCTTCTCGGTCCAGTCGTAGAATTCCTCTGCGATTCCATTCCCTCCCTCAGACTTGGGCTTCCTGGATAACTCAATATCTTTCCGAGTATGCCCGACCTTTCCAAATGGCTGGACTAGGATACGCCGTTAGTTAGCATTCATAAAGAACAGAACAATCGGCCTTACTGAACCGACCACCATCTTTCATTTGAACCTGCGGAGAAAACCCGGCAAACAGCTCCGTGTAGGCTCCATAGATGGGGTCCTTGAGAACGAGGTTGATGAACGGCATTTGCCATTTTGGCGCGTGTTGGTAGAGCGGTGTCTTCAAGTTACCAGGATCCAGTGACACGCTGAGGATATTGTCCCGGGCGAAGCGCCGGGCATATTCTGCTGCTTGGAGAATGTTGCCGGCTTTGCTG